AAATTACTACAATAATCAATGTTTCAAAAACTATTATAATACTACATTTACCATTTATGAAAAATGTAACATAGCCAGTGTGATGAACAAATCAAAACTTACCTATGATTCTTCAAAATAGTAAGATCCGAACTGAAAATTTCAAAAAACAGGAATCAACTAACTGATATCTTGTAATTTGAACACAAATTAACAAAAAAAATATATCAATCAAGGCAAAGGCTAAACATATTACTTGCAAAACTAAACAACAAAATCACATTCAAACCTGTAATACAATGCCGATTACCTCCAAACAACGTGACACACCCTGACCCGAAAGGTCCACCTAGACTCCAAATCGAGCTACGTTGGCCGACATCGAAAAGGTGACGAGGCCATAAAGTGTAGTGATGTGGGAAATGTGAATAAATTAAAACCTAAAAGTGACTAAGTAAAAGAGTGCACATGTGAGCGAGATTGAACCCATTTCACACATGATGTCAGAGCATAAGTAAAGTACAATAAAATTAGAATAAGAAATATACCCTCGGAAGTGATCTCCGATACCAACTTTTGCTAGGAATACTCGTCGACACAAGAACTCTGCCACTAAAACCTAGAGGGGCAAAAAACAAGAGTAAGTGAGCTTGAAAATAAAGTTTTGTAAAACCTTTTCGAAAACGTATAACCCATGCCGTAAAACAAGTATACTTACTATAACAGCAATATTTCATAAATACGATAAATCACAATACTCTGCACATAACATCCAATAATCAACATGTCTCAAATAAACGAACATCTAATATCAAGTGCTCATCGCCATATGCTGACACACGAGTTCATGCAGAGGTATTTTGACATGAACAAGAATGGGTGTAATAATGATTTACGTTCTAGTACTACAATTACCTGAAGACGAGCGCTATGCGTGTCACATACAAGTCCTAATTGCCTATAGCAGTCTAGGACAGGACTGGCACCTATGATGGACCAAAATGAGTGTATCAGTGCAATGTAAACATACACGTGAAGACTGGCCCTGGCCTGAGTGAGTACTAACAGTAGTGTAGCATGCATAATGAACAGTAATATAAATATGATCATACTGCAGAAATTTCGTAAATCACTATTAATAAATTAATAATATTTGTGATCGTAAATATATTTATGGCATCACACCAAAATATGCATTCATGCATCCCATAGAATTTACGAGAATTTCATAAATTCCGTTAATACGTTAATTCTTAAAAACGTTAGTCAAATCTATGTATAATGTAGAAAATTCTTCATTAAACATATAAATGGAAACTAAATAAATATATAATATTTAAAAGCAAAGATCCACTCACAAATCATGTCATCACGTCAAACCCATCTCGCGGGCATCAAAGATCGTTGTGATGCATTTCACCTAGAAATAAAACCATTCACATAAATATATAACGTACTAATGTAAATATGAAATTTTGTACAAAGTACGGTTAATAAAGGAACTATTTAAAAACGATCGAACTTCGAAAAATGAAGCGTGGATTCAGATTCGACACATGGAGAAACCTAAAGAAGGACCTCGGGTTCCTCCACGAGTCGCCGCACGCACCGAGCACATTGGCCACCCATGTGCACACACGCCTTCTTCGCGATTTCCAGATTTTTGCAGGTTTTATCTCCAACTTCCAAAGCTCATTTCGAGCTCAATTCTTCACCAAACTATATGATTCAAAAACCAAATTGAAGTTAGAAATGTAGGGAACAGATCCATACCAAATTGGGGCTGAGTTATGGTGGGTGTTGGCCAGAAAAATGGCCTGAAAGTGGCCTAATGGCCATGGTTTTCCTTGCCAAAAAATTGGAGAATTTCTTCCCCCGTGTCGATTTTGCTCTAAACCTTCACCAAAACACATGAGATGGGTCATAAATCGTAGCGTCGATGAGGGGAAGTTAAATTCGGTGTCTTTGAACCTTACCTTAGTTGAAATTGACGAGAACTCGACAGAGAAGATGATAAACAGTGGCAACGACCACTGTGCAGTGTAAGATCCACGTCTGGGTTTGAGTTCGACGTCAGTGAACATAATTTTTTGGGTTTGAAGATCTGTAATTCTCATCAGGATGGCAAGGTTAACAGCGGTGGTGGTGTTGCTGTTACACCCATTCGGTGTATGTAGAGAGAAGGGAGAGAAAGAGAGTTCGTAAGGGAAGACATGGAGAGGATAGGAGGATGAGGTAAGGTGGTTTGATGTGGTTCAATAGCTTGCCGAAGTGGCAAAGCTAGGTGGTGTTGGTTCCTAAGTTCGGCATCTTGGTGATCACACAAAGGAAGGAGATGGTGAGGGTTGAGAAAGTAAGAGAGGGTTAAAGAGGAAGAGAAGAAGTGAGGACGAAAAAAAAAAAAAAAAAAAAGGAATAGGGCGTGGGCCTCACTTGGCACATAGCCCAACCCATAAAAGACGGAACAGAAAAAATATCTCCAGTAAACATGAAATTACTAAACGCCTTTCATGCTCCAAACTTCGTAAAATCTTCGTCGTAACTCCAAATTCAGTTCCGCTTGGACCCACACATTCATATCGTTGAGTGCAACGAGAATATATGTGTGTATGTCTTTGGGTTAAGCCCAAATAATAATTAATTAGGCACGAAGTCTAATTAATAAAATACTAATGTATACGGGCCTACTTGCCCACTTGCTTAACGAACCCAACAAATAAGTTATCGATATTATAGTCTGCAACCTGCAATACCGACAACTCACTGCAGCCCACAATCTCGAATGTCCACCCGTCAGGGTATTTTCGTAATTTTCTAAGGTTAGGGAATAAAATAATATTAAATTTGGGACGAGATGTCACACAACGAAACTATGAAGAACAGCGATCAAATTACAAAATTCCAATGAAACAATGAACAACAACGAAGATTAGGATTTGAAAATAGAATCTCAAAACCTTCAATCATTTTCGGAAAGAGGATTGAAGAACTAGGCTTACTTTGAAAAACCTAAACTAACATAAACGAATAACATGAAGATCAGGATTCAAAAATCGACTGTCAAAATCTTCAACCAGTTCCTGAAAATAGATTGAAGGACAATGCAAATTGAAGAACTCTGCAACTATTTTGCAAAAAAATGCCTTCCATTAAGTTATGCTAATTTCAAAATAACTAAACGAACGAATTAATTAACATAAGTTAACCTAAAACTTAGGGGTAAAATTGACAAATCAACATATTATTTTGGTTAGGCCATTTCAGTTGGGCTGATTTAAAAGTGGACTTTGTACTAACCATTAAATAAACTTATAACATAGTTTTTTTTATTAAAACTCAAAGTTTCCAAGCCCTTCGAATTAGTTTTCCTTCTTCTTTTTTTTTCTTTTTAATTTTAAAATTTTAAATTATAAATAAAAATTGATTTTTTATTAATTAAACGTGGAACTCACTGTTACATTATTTGTTAATTAAAATTATTAATTTTAATTTTAAATTATTAATTAAAATTGTTTTATTGCCACGTAATCATAAACGTGGAACTCATTATTACCACGTTATCACTTAATTGCTAACTTAACAGAGTTTTTAATGGTTGTACGTAATTGAAATAAAAAATAACTTAATGTAAATGATTGAAATGTTTTAAAGATTTTCTATGAGGTTGTCATTGACCACAAACTTGAGGATGCAAAATGTAATTTACCCTTTTTTTACATTACATATGAAAACTGAATTTCACTTTGTGATTCAAAATAATTAAATTTAGATCTCCTCCCAATTCCTTGTTCTTTTATATTTGAATTGATGAACTTCAAGATAAACATATTAATTCTAAAATATTACCAAAAAAATATAATTAAGTTCATCAATTTTCCCGCCTTCACGCCTCTCCATCTCTCTTCATCTTCCATAACCTTGCTATTTCCATCATCATCCCAATCATGAAAACAAATAGCTGCATACTCATTTCCTCTCTGCGATCTGCAGAACCGAAGCAAAACGCGACGGCCAGCCTCCTTCTCCAGCCGTGATCAGTCCGTTTCCTCTTCCTCTAGCCTTCTCTTCGAAGAACCCCATTGAGATCCAAAAAGAGCAAAAGCACAATCATGAAAACTTCATTGGTAAACTCAAATGAGCACAGCATCATGAAGAGCCATCTTCAATTCAACAGAAGTATCTATCAATTTTTAAGGCAAATCGACCAAGTTCATGAGTAGCTCTACTGGGCTCACGGCCCAAAAAAAACCCTAAACAAAGTGAAAAAGAAAAGAAAAAAAAATTCCCCCGATTCCCATATTAAGCCAGTAGAGAGAGAGAAAGGATACTTGTTCAGGATGAAGCTCACTTGATGACTGATAGTGTTGATGAAGAACAGCATCTCGCTCTCACCCGTTCACTCGAAAGAGGCAGTGTAGTGAGAGAAGGCAGCGTAGTCAAGTTCTTAGCAATACCTTGCTTTTGCATGGGACTATTTGACGACTTGAGGAGGCCCAGGGTTTGGTGGCCCGAAATTTACTAGGCTTCGCCAAAAGGCCTCATCTCTAGAAGCCCGGCTCGCAAGGCGTCCCTCTCGCAGTAGGGTTCAAAACCTTGCCTCGCTCTTGTGATATGCTATGTTTCCAGAGTCCACACGAGTTTGGACGAGTTCAGGCTAATCTCATTTAACTTAGTTCATAGCCATACCAAACATGGTGTATTCATCCTAGCTAGTCCAATCCTGGCTTAAGGAGGTAAACAAACAAGGCCTTGGAGTCCACAAGGTAGAGTTACGACTGGGGGATAGCAAGATTCGCTACCATTCATTTTCTAATGGTAAACTATTAGTCAAAATTGGTGGAGACGACTAATGCTAGTAAAGGAACATCTGCAGTTCGTAAGAAAAACCTCAGAGGTTTAAGCTCGCAGAAGGTAACCAATCACACAGACAATGGATGAACCCAGAACAAATTTCAGTGAGCAAAATCAAAGCTGGGTTACATCACTCCACCATTATCTAATTCAACGGTCAGACTCGAAACTTGGCACTGCAATCATCGGATCTTAAATGGGAGATTTTCCACTGTACATTTAAAAAAAAGTTTGGGCGGAACCAAGCATCCTCCAAAATCCTGAACTACTCCTATGCTTAAGAATCACTACTCATGAAAGATTAGGACCGCCTTGGATCATTAGAGATCAGATCTCCATTACAGCATACGCAACAAAACAAGATATACAAAAACATGGAGGGACGAAACATTTAACCGCACCCAAAGTTTACATCTGGTCTTGCAACAACAGAAGAGAAGGGAACTTCAACTCTCTCTTTCACAACACATCGAACCTTCCCATCTTCCACCACAAGGACTCTCCCAGGGGGGCACTCAATGGTTGATCTCTTTTCTTCAGTTGGTGGTTGCTGAGAAAGGCCTGATATTTTGAAAGTGACATTACTTCTCACAAATTTAGGCCCAAAACCAGACAGGCGTAATACAGATGCCACACCAACAAGAGTAAGCAGAGTCTTGGCTGCTGTGCTTAGGAAAAATCCCAACCTTTTTTTGGATCCGTTCTGCAACTTGTCTATCTCGCTCGAATTCTTCTTCGCTTCATTTGTTGGATCACCGGTGATTATCCCATTTCGTATCAACTTGTGTGTGGGTGGTAAATAGCCATTTTGTAGAGAAAGAGTGTGCGGAGAGCGGCTTGGATATGGTGGAAGCAAAAGATCATTGTTGTGTTCTACTGTTTCACCTGCAAAAGCAGAAGCCTCACGTAACACTTCTAAATCCTCCCCTTTGTACTCTTTAAGCTTGTCTACTAGCATCTTGCGGCTGCTTTCAATCTCAGAAAGGGCAACTTCCCTTTCATACGTTTGCTGCTGTTGTAAAGCCTGATGATAAAACAAAACAAATTTCAAAACCTATAGTATAAATCATTTTACACAAAACATTAAAATGTTCTTCATATATTTCAAACATTCAAATAGGTGAATCCAAGGTGCCATTTTGGCAAGAGATAAACAGGTTCATTCTGGCTATAATACAGCTCTTATTATAAATCAACACTACGATGAACGAACCAGCAAGTATGGTTTCCCTGGAAAGGTCAACCAATCACTAATCAACACTTGGACGTCTAGAAGAAATTTTTGGTCAGAAATGCTTACCAACAGATGGGTTGAATACACCAAGAATAATTTATGTCAAGCCAATCCTTGCGTAATGTGTCAGTATGGTTGAAAATTAAACTAGCTCATGGGTGAAACTCACTCACTAGTGTGGACAAAAGATTTCAATTGACAATTTGACATCTAGAATGAGTAAAAGAACCAAGGGACTTCATTCATCTGCATAAAACCGGTTTACAATATGTATAACAGTATAATCCTCAAGAAGTTCCAAAAATCCACATGTCAGATACTAATTCAGATGATTCTCCACCAGCACAAATCCAACGTCTTCCTCCATGGTTAAATGGGAACCCTCTGGACGTTGACGTGAGGTCGAAAATGACAAGAATCTAGTTCATTTGCAAGGAGGCTTACTGAATTACAAGTCTAGCCCTTCTAGCCAACTATAACGCCTTACCCTTTCAACAAGGTCTTGGGTTCTGTAAAAAAATTAATTTTGAAATCATTGGTTCCTTGAACCATTGGGCTTCTCTCTATTAGTGCTATGTAAAATTATCTAGAGCCATGATGATTGATCTTGTGAGGAATGAATACTACGATCTGCTTATTAGGCTTAGCTATCTTAATGTTTTACATGCCTATATAAGGCCCCCTAAGCATCTCTGTGTTTTAATGAGTATCAATAAACATATTGACCGTTTCACCTTCCATTATCCGATTGCTTCTACTCTTTCACTTTGCCACCAATAGGTTTAACACTTGAAGGAGAAAGAATTCAGGAAGGCAGAGGTCATATGTGAATTACCTGTGCATGCAACTTTCCTACAAAGGCATAACTGACTGGATATTCCTCAATCTTGTGCAGTATAACAAACTTAAATCATGTGCAACACTCGGGTTGCGTTTGTTACATAGGTTTGGTATGGATACAATAACTCACTATATTCAACGCAGAATGAAGAAATGGATGACAACTGCCAAATATTGTTCACGTAGAAGGTAGAAGATGAATGGTCATGAAGGAAAGTTATCTCTTCAAATCCTACCATTGTTTTGGGGATTAAAGGGGATAATTTTCCCTCATGACTACTCCCTCTTCTAGTTCAATTTGGACAACATTTCTTCAATATGCCTTGAATCTAGTGAATTGTCCTATCCAAGCCAATCCTGTGTAACAAATGCAGTCTCAATGATCTGAGACTTTCATCCTATCGGACCTGTTATAAAAGGTGGTGGTGCTTCCATGATTTCCAATTTCCAAACATTAACATGAAAGATGAAAGTAACTAACATATTAAAACTAATTCCTTTTTTTTATGTAATTTTTCTTAAACAAACAGAAAAAAGCTGAAATTTTGGCATTCAGAAACAGAAGGAAGACTATTAAAGATCCTAATAAATAGTGCCATAGTTTATGAAAGAACTTAAACCCAAGTGAAGCATAAACCACCACATTTGATGAAGAAGCTCGAATAAGCACATACATACACATATACATGAAAATGTAAAGTTTCCAAATTTAAGCACCTAATTGCATTTGACAAACTAATGCAGCAAAAGAAAACCCATATGTAAATTACAAGTAGATGTCTGCGCGGGAAACTTTCCAACAAAGGCATAACTGACTACATAGTGCTTGCTCATTCTTATGCAGTTTCACAAACTTAAAACCCATGCATGTACGAAACTCAGTGGTTTTAAAATTTTATATCCGGTCCAAACCTGATATAGGAGGTGATGGTATTTCCTAATTTTAAATTTCCAAACATCATTATGAAAATAAATGTAATTAGCATATAACTTAAGTTCTCATTGATGGGTACACAAACTCAACCACATAATTAATTCACTGATAATGGGTACACAAACTCAACCACATAATTAATTCACTGATAAGAATTTTCAAAAAAGAAAAAGATTTAAATTGAAGGCGCAAATAGGGTAAAGGGAAGGTAACAAATGATGTGGGCAAGTACAGACAAACGGCTAAGCCCCAGTAAGCCCTGCATCACCAAAGAATAGGCTGAGCACTGCCATAACCAACGACAAGCATGCCTTACGGTACCAGAATGCGGGAACCCTCCTCATCCTCAACTCCGTACCTCATTAGTGATTATGATTGTATGAGCAATAATAAATTTCCTATATAACTGTTGGAATATCGATATCCTACCAGTGAGCCACATCTTTCGAACATTCTGTGTATGAAACACCACCTCCCAACGAATCCCTCTTTTTAATGTAATTGTTTTCTTAACCAAACAGAAACAAAAGCAATTTTAGTATTCAGAAATAGTTTATGTATAAACCTATATGGAAAGAAAATAAACCCTAAACTCAAGCATTAAACACAGCACACTACAATAATCACACACATGAAAAATGTAAAGTTTCAAACTTTGAGCTACCCAATTGCAAATGACATTCTCGTGCAGCAAAATTAGGGTTTTTCGTACTCGTTTTTCCCTCCCTACAGCAAAGCTAAATCAAAGAAATTGGGTTTATCAAAACAAAACCTGTAAGGAAGAAAGCTGGTTCTCAAGGGATTCGAGGGCGTCGCAGATGTTGAAAAGCTTATGTGCCTCTTCCTCTTCTACTTTCTCTTCTTCTTTTTCTTCTTCTACTTCGTCTGCTGCGTTGCCGTCGGCGTGGACTCCATTTTCTCTTTTGGGTTGTGAGTGATTTCCTTTGTGGATGCAGTTACTGATCTTCAATCTCAGCTCTGTGGCTCTTCCCAGAACCAACCCAATGCCCTCTTCTTCCATCTCTTCTTTCTTTGTAGAGAGAGAGGAAGGGGTTTGAAATTGAAAGGGTTTGGTTGGTTTGTTTCAATTGGGGAAAGAAGAGGAAGGTTTATCAATACCGCCAAAATAGAACTGTTCTGCAAACTTTGCTTCTCTCTCATGCTATTAGGTAGAATCATTTTCCTTTTTTTTTTTTTTTTTCTTGTTTGATTATTAGTGATCCTTTGATGTAAATCGACGGTAAGTGTGTAGTGAAACGTAAAGTAAATAAAACATAATGTTTATGAGGTTTGGCAAGTGTTATTACGTTCTTAGGGCAGCAGTAGTATTTTCTTTTATTTTGTGAAATAATAGGAATACAAAGATAATTTTCACTATTTTATTTATTCTCTCTAACCCAACTCACTGGTATTTTATTTTGTATCTCTCTTCTTTCTCTTCTTCTTCTCCTCTCTTTTTTTTTCTTTCTCCTTTTTTTTTCTTCCTCTGTATGCTCTCATTTTATATGCAAAAAATTATTGTAGCAACACTATTTGCTTTACAAACTTTCTTCATATAAAATGATAACTCATCTGATTTTTCTTTGGATGAATAGTAACAAACTATTCATGTGGTCACATTACAACACTTCCCCTTGGATGGCCATATGTCAATTTCAATTGCCTCGTTAAAACTTTGATCTGTTTTGGATGCTCCCCTTGATGAGTATCTCCCCCTGATATCGAATTCTTTAATCTAACTAACTACTATGTTGATGTAATTTGATACCATTCATGGTAGTTGGAGTGTTTGCTTCTGAAGGTGGTTCGCATGCGCTCCAAATTTTAGTTGCCACATGTTTTAACCAAACTCTTGTATTTCTGAGAGATATGAAGATGTGGCAATGAATGTTGCTTCCTTCATCGTTGTACGATCAATTTATTTCCATATGTAAATACAAAATCATTTCTGAGAGCGATTTGTATGTAGGTTAGAGAGATATTCAAATTTTTGCTTGCCCAATAAGACCATGGCTATTAGTGAGTCTTTTGGAATAAAACAAGCACATGTCTATAATTTCCTGGAGATATCAATAAATCTTTTTTTCATTGCAATACCCATTTGTTGGCATTATGCACCACAGGAAGTATAACATTTGATTTTGTGTATTGTACTAAATACAATAAGGTACATATCTCATTAAGATATCGTACTTCTGGACCAAATATCAATTCTTCATTTCCCTTACAAGGATGAATGATCTTTCTTAGTGTCTAAATATTGGTTAACCATTTGAATATTCAACTTATAATCTTCAATCCATATGGTCTTTTAATATCATAAACATTTTGGATAAGATTTGTGTTGGCATATTGTTCAATCTGCAGCTCGAGACAATATTCTTTTCAACACTTTATAATCTTTATAGACTTTTCAGGAGTCCCAATTTAATATCAATTCTTGCAAGAGATTTAGTATGTTGCAACAATATTATAATGATAGTACTCATTAAGGCAATTTATACCATATATTGATATTGAGTACATAATTTATGCTTTATCTTTCCAGGGCTTTCTTCAAGCAATTTAAATCATTCAAGGATTTTCTACACTTCATGACACATTCTCTTTTGGAATTTATACAGAGCAACTTGTTTCCATGTATACTTGAGGGATTTATTTGTGGATATATGCTTTGGGCATGTATAATTCTCCACTAAATGAACAAGATTCACAATGAGAAATCATGTTTCCAAGAGTGAATTACAATTTCAGGATTCAATTGGAAACCTTGTGTCATATCGTGTGAGTGTATTTCACTGTATTACAAATGCCTATATGTAACCTTCTGGTTCAACATCATTTGGTGATTTGTACTATAGGTCCATTTTTCCACGTTATTAATAAATTGTAATGGAATTGCCTTCCTCCATTTTGGCCAATAATTTTTCTTTTTGTCAACGAACAAAAGAACGCGGATCAATATCAACACAACTCATTGATGATTTTAGTAGCTTCTGTAAAACCCAAAATTATCATTGGTAACCATCAATTCTTGATCCCATAATTCTCATGTGCATGCGCATGCATATTTATAAGTATTTCATTTCTTTCGATATCCTTGCCTCTTCAAGGGTTTTACATTGTCTCTTCTAGGATAGTCATCTCTTATTATATGAATTGTTTGAGAATTTGGATCATAACCTCCTCTAGAGCGATATAGAGCTTGGATTTTTTTTAATCTCCACTTCTGGGGAGTTGAGTCATTGGAACCTACACATCGATCATGGTTCAGGCATAAGATATATTAAGATTGTCATGTTCATGGATTATCCCTTTTGGAATTTGAATCTATGCGGCGACTGTCATGCTTCGGGCATGCAACAGTTCAGTAGTGCCATGTCTATGGATAGTCTGACTAAGACTTCAATCCGCACAGCATCTCTGTACCTTGTAATTAATTAGTAATTTTTAATACCTTTTTGTACATTATGTGAATTATATAAACTGGTAGTGTTTGTTGGGGCTATGAGTAGGATTCCCATCATTGAACTTTTCGTCTTCCATTCACTCAATCAGCCACCAATTTTCTCCCTTTAGACTTTTATGGGCTCGTCGTTGATCATTCTGCCTCAGTTTCTTGCCCAGTAAAGGTGCGCAATCTTTGCCCTTGGATGGTCCATCAAAACATTGTTTCTCAACAACTCATCCATGTTTGTCAGCTTCAGTGTAAAGAGCCAACATCATATCAAATGTTCTGAGGTATTTGCCAAGGAAATCTAAGACCTATCAACAGTTGAAGATGACTACTTGAGAGCAATACTAGGTAAGCAAGGGCAAAGGAAAAGGCATGATATGAGATGCTCTTGCTCTTGACCCTGATGATATGAGATACTTTTGCTCTTGAAGAAAGACAGTAGAAGGATTTGATGCTGATGTAAAGCTTCTCGATCAAAAATATTTCTTGCTGAGAAAATAACTTTGGCATTTTGAGGGACTTGGTTGAAGAAGTATTTTCAGAGAGAAGGAAGACTAAATATGTTGAAAGGTTTGGTTGCAAATGCATTCTCGGCAAGGAAGATGAGCTAGGCATTTTGGAGGTGTGCTTTGTCACCCACGATTGTCGGCAACAGTGGTGTAGTTGGAATAGTGAACTTTACGCGTTTTAACTTTGCCGAAGATATTTTGACAGAGTCGTCCTTGATATCTGGAAAGCTGAGATTGCGTCTAAGAAATGTTGACAAACTTTATTCAGGAAAATTCGGCTTTTGAAATTCAAAGAGCAATGTCTTGATTTTTTGAACAAGTGGTTGTGTTGCCTCTCCTTTTATAGAGATATCAATTGTATCCAAAATGCATGCTTTGAAGATTGCCTGCCTGTGAAAATTGTCTTTGTTGTATTTCTGAGATTTCACTCTATCCAACCTTTTTCTTTCATCATTTCTGAAAATGGCTTACCCATCTAACATTTGTTTATATTTGAGTCTCGACGGAGATGCACACGAGCCGCGTCAAGATAATATATGGTGCCCATCCTTTTTATCTTCTAATAGCCTTCTTACAGTTGGAGACTCTATGATGAGGGATGCAGTTGGAGACTGTTGGAAATGTGCCCTAAAACCAATCATATGATGATACTTTACGGACATTTCAAACTCATGTAGTTTAAATGTAAAGGGCAAAGATTATTGTTTGAGCCGTCTCGTATAAATGTTATATGCTTAAACGATAAGTCCAAGGAATATGTGATTGGAAGAATGCGATCTAAAGAAGTTAGATTCATGAGACCATTCTTTCGTTGACACATCCTAAACGTTCCTGATCATAGGATTGTCAATTGGGCATTGATAGTCCGTTAAGATCAGTACGTGCTATGTCTTCTCTCAGGGAGAGTGACTAGTCTCGAGTCATTGGTGTGTGTGACATCAAGACAAGTACGTAGGTGCTCAATAGAGAATGAGTTCACTGAACACGATCAACGAAGAGTTCTCATATTCATGTCACATGAGAACTCATGGTTGGGATAATGCAAATTAGTCTTTTGACCTGAGGCATCACAGTTGTCTTGTGGTTAGGTCCTTAATCTTTGATTATGTCAAAGTCACTCCATCAGGAGGGTGTCCATGGCATCGTTGGGGTTAAGCCACTTAGCCATGGAGGCAAGTGAATGCGCAACAAGGGATCTCTAACCTTCAAACTGTTTGAGGGAGAATACTCTATGATATGATTAAGAATCTTTGGCCAAAGTATGAATGAGATTTAGGAATGTGTTCCAAATCACATTCAAGGTAATCATATAAGCACAAGACTCACATTGGATAGTAGACATGAATAAACTATCAAACCAAACAATGTGGTCAAGAGTATTGTATTAGAGAAAGACCGTATTGCATTTGTAATCCTAAAACTGAATAGGTTCTCCACCTCTTCTGATTAGCTTGGGTAACCATGACATGCTGCTAGGCGTCAACCATGGTTTGTGGAAGCCCTAAAAGTGTATTATCACTAACGGGAGAATTGAAAGTAAGTTTCAATTCACAATCGATTAGAAAGAGTTTTAATCGCCCACTGCCTCGCTAAAAGGAACCTAATGGATCGTTCACCGAGTAAGGTAGAGTTTGAAGAAACAACGGAGATGAGTAAGAATAATTAAATGGTTTAATTGTTTATCTAAGGCTAGGATTAATTAATATGTTAATTAATCAAACGAATAAGTTCGTTAAAGACCTCGGGTTAGTTTTGGGCCGCAAGGCCCAATGGGATTTGAATGTCAAGCCCATTAACTCAAGTTGTATGACAACTTGAATAAACAAAGGGCTTGAAAGCCCAATAAACCCTATAGGCTTGCCATGTTAGAAGAATAGGGCTTTTGGTCCATTAGGTCACTTATTTGAAGGGACTATATAAAGGACTTTATAGCCTAAAATTTACATATGGTAATTTTTGGGGAAAGGATGAGAACACAAGCTCTCCTTTCTCTCTAAAATTTAGGCCACCTTGGAGGGATCATCTAGCAATCAAACTCCTCCAAGGTCACTCATTTCTTCTTCATTATGCCTTGGTGATGAATCATTAGAGGTTCTCAATTTTGGGAACTTGGAGAAGCCTTTTCATCCATCCAAATCCATGGATCTAAGGTGCAAGGAATGAAGGCCC